AAGGCAAATATCAAAAAACCTCATAAAACCCTCATTCATTGCTGGCAAGATACAAAGTGGCACTGTCACTAGGGAAGAGGTTTGAAAGCTTTTATTTTTTTTTTTTTTTTTTTAAAGATTTATTTATTTATTTTATACAAGCACTGGGTACAGTCAGAAGTGCGGGAGGGTGAGAGAATTCACCAGAGCCAGAGCGGGGAGCAGAGCAGGCAGAAGGACCGAGGTACACTGCTGAGGGGAGCAGCGGGCGGCAGGAGGGGTCTGCGCGCCATATGGGACCCTCCTGTGGTGGCCGGGGAGCAGCCAGGGATCGAACCGGCGCTGCAGAGGCTGCGGGCAGCTTCGCAACCCAGCGCTCAACCGCTGCGCCACTGGGAGGGCCCCGGTTTGAAGCTTTTAAAGCCAAACACAGACCCACCAGACAGTCCAGTGAGCACTGCCCCAGCTATTTACCCTACTAATCTGAAAACTTATTATTTGCACAAAAGCCATACATGTATCTAAATGTTTGTAGCAGAACAACCATTATGTGTGAGCTGCCCAGTGAAAAAACTCAAATTCAGGGACATTATTCCTGAGCAGTACTCAATCAAAAAATATAAGAGAAACTGCCTGAGCCAGTGCGCCTAAAGGAGACATAGGTGGAACTTACTGAGATCCTGGATGAGAGCCTACACATAAAAATTATCAGTAATGAACTCCAAATAAAGTATGGAGTTTAGTAAACGTGAGTCAGTATTGTTTCTCTGGCTGCACAGATGCAGTGTAGCCACGTAAGATGTTAACTATGTGGGGAAAGAGAGTGGATATAAGGAAAGCTATAATACCTTTGCAAATTCTCTGGCAAATACTGTTTTTAATGTAACTTTTAAAAATAGCCCTCAATAAAGTAATAGGTTGTAGAAGGGAAAAAAGGTCTACTTTCCAGTTTTCCCAGGTATTGCTGTAAAAGACTGGAGAGAGGAGTACTGGGGAGAAAAGCTGGAAGCCTCACACACAGCCCAGGCTCCGGAGTCTCCTCTCCTCTGAGCCCTGCTTCTCCGACTCCTCACAGAGCACCTCACCCTCCAGGTGGACGCCGCCCTTCAGGACCCCCAACTCTGCCCACCTCAGCCCCCCGCCCCGTCCTGGCGGCTCCACCAGAATCCGGAACAGCGCGGCAGCGCCCCCGTGTGGCCACAGGGCTGAGCACAGGAGCCCAGAGCTGCCCTTTCTCCTGCTCAGCCGGCCCTCCCCAGGCTCCCTGGGCTCCCAGTGGCAGGACAGGAATCTGTGAAAAGGGGCACCAGGTCTCCTGACAAGTGACAGGTACTCAAATTACTTCCCCAGTGAGATCTACGGACTCAGGAAAAAAGCTAATTTCCAAGTGTCATAAGAACTGGTACTTATAGGAAGAATGTAGAGGACAGGAGGGGCGTGGGGGGGGAGTAATAATGATAAAATGAAAAGAAAAAAATCAACAGGCAACTATAAGCAGGAGACATTCTGCCGTGGGGGGCGGGGGGGCTTGGGAAAGAAAGAAGGGCGTAGGATCAAAGCAATGTGGGAAGAGCACAAGGGACCTGGTGACAGTTCACGGGTGAATGGGGGGGTGGGAATTTCACGGGGACTATAACCAAGATGAAAATGCATACATTGTACAAAAATGAAAAATGATGTGAAAAATAAATAAAAACTGTTTACAGATCTGTGCAGATACCCCATATAAAGAGGGTCCTTCAGCCCCTTAGAATGGAAACTTGGACTCCAGAGTCCCTGTTATTTCTTCCTGCTTCTGTTTCCAGGAATGAAGTGCCCCCTCCTTGGAATCAACCCTAAATTCTCCCCTAAGACAAGGAGAGGGATCTCGTAATAGAATCTCAGGATCTACTCTAGATCCTCTGAGTTCATCTGTGCTCGCTGAAGTGGAGCTCCCTGGTCCCTGTGCCTTCTGCACGTGGTGTTGGACTGTGCAGTTTACTCTGCTGAACACCGGGGGTCCTGGGGTCCAGTCCTGCTCCTTTCTCTTCTGCAAAGAAAGAAAATGGAAAGAATCAATCCCTGGGTGACCTCATTCATGCTCAAGAGTTTAGGTATCATTTACACTATATCATCTCCCAAAGCTATTTCTCCGCTCAGATGATCCACCTGTGCTACAGGCTTGTCTGTCCAACTGCCACCATCTCTGACTTGCTGGTAGTTTCCATGCTCCTAAACTGAATACCTAGGATGCCATTCCGCAAATGTACTACGTCTAGAACCTTCCTTATATCCCTGCAGGCCCTCCACATCTCTACTCCACAGTCTGGAATACTGAGTGTCAATCTGACCCTCTTTCTTACAATTCAGATGTTCCATTAGGAAATGCTGTCAAATCCACCTCTAAATATATCCACAGCCAATCACTTCATATGATTTTCCTGCTCACAGTCCAACAAGGCCTGGAATCTGCACAGGTTTCCTACATTTTTCTTCCCACCTCTCACTCTTCAACTCTTGATTCTTCACGAAGGTCAGACTGAGGCTTCTAAAGAGAACTCTCACAAGCCGATATCTGTCCAGAAAGGTCGTGTAACCCTTCATCTTACACAGAGAAAAGTCAAAACACTTTCAACATGCTTGAGGCCTGCTGGTGTCATTTCTATTCCCCTCTGCTCCAGCCAGCTGGACTCCTTGCTCATCTCAGCACACAGACACATTCCCGCCTCAGGCATCTGCACTGGGGGTTGTCCTGCCTGTACACGGCTTCCCTGGACATCCTTGTGGGCAAGCTGTCCCTCAAATTTTTTTCAACAATCCCCTAAGTGAGGTCCACACTGACCACACTAGGAAGAGAGCCATCATCCCTGTCCCCACACAACCCTTCCTACAACCCTTACCCACTTCTAACCAGACACTTCCCATATTTACTATCATGCACTCTCCTGTCTCCCCTTCCCACTAGGACACACATCCACAGCAAGCTGGGGATGTTTTTACTTCATTAAGGTTTCCTAGATGAGAAACAGCCTGCCATATAACTGGTGCAACAATTATCAGTGGAATGAACGATCAGTATAGAGCACTTCCCTATTCTAGAAACAGTATCTTTGGTAATGCGGCCTCAGACCACTTGCTAAGCACAACCTCTACTCACAGGGACATTAATGCTGCCTCTGCTTCTCTCACAAGCACTGCTCTCCCCTCCCCCACCCTTCCTTCTACACACACCACAGACCACAAGCATCATTCTTCAAAAAGGATAATCCTGGTTTTATGGGTCTGACTTTTTAACTGTGAGTGTCGACTTGACTCTTATTTAAAAACCCATTTATTTGGAACCGAGCCAGCACTGGGTTAACTACACTTAAGGGCAGGGTTGGGGGCAGCTGAGAAAACAGATATCCAACAGGAACTTTTCTAAGAGAAGAAATGATAGGATCCTTCTCCCTACTAATACTTGATTTATTAAAAAAAAAAAAAGCTGGGAAAACATGGAAAAACAATCCAGGAAATAGCCTTAAAAGGAAGCCAAAAACTAGATTTTGGTAAGTACTTTTGTTTTCCATTTAGTTCCTTTCTTAAATTTTAGGAAACTATTTTATTAACCCATCAACTCCAATTCACAGATTAGAAAAATAATTTCGTATCTGCATTGTTTTTGTTTTTTTTTTTGTTTTTTTTTTAATAGAGGCATGTTTTATTTATTTATTTGTTTGTTTATACATGCACTGGGTACAGTCAGAAGCGCGGGAGGGTGAGAGAATTCACCAGAGCCAGAGCAGGGAGCAGAGCAGGCAGAAGGACCGAAGTACACTGCTGAGGGGAGCAGCGGGCGGCAGGAGAGGTCTGCGCGCCATGTGGCCGGGGAGCAGATGGGGATTGAACCGGCGCCGCAGAGGCTGCGGGCAGCTTCGCAACCCAGCGCTCAACCGCTGCGCCACCAGGGAGGCCCCGTATCTGCATTGTTATTTTCAACATGGAAGTGGACACTATTCCTCAGGAAAACACAAAGTCCAGGCAGGGGTGCAATCAGCCCCGCCTCTGCTAGAGCAGGAAAGTCATCAGGGAGAGACACAGGTCAGTGTGGGGAGGGGCCTGGTGGGCAGGGCTGGGCCAGTCTCCCCACCTCCTCACATTATGCCAGTGAGATCACAGATACATGCAATGCCCTTTTCAGGGGATCTTGAAGTCATGACGTGTGGATAAGAAAAAAATCACTATTCCATAGTCCCCAGCACATTGTGAAAGAAAATATCATGAACAAACTCAGGGAATCACATCAGTGTGGACATTCTCAATGGTCCACCGCAATGTCAGAATGTCCCCCTCACAGCTTCCCCAGAACATGGTCCCATCCTCTCTACCCCAGCCCCTCCCACCGCCGGCCTCCAGGGTCTCACCTTTAGCAGCTGTGAGAGGCACATCAGAGCCCTGGACATTGGCGCTGCCTGGGGGAGAACAAAACAGAAGCTGGTCAGAGCCATGAGAGAAGAGACCACAGTGGACCTGATGAGGTGACTCCCCCAGGAGCTCCATCTACACTGTCTCCAGGGACTCAGGGACCAAACCCCTGATCCACACTTACCTGCAGCCTGAGTGTAGCTTCCTCTTTGTCCCCCTGTGGGAAAAAAAAACATTATATGAGACCAGGGAGAAGTGAGGCCATGAAATCCTAAAGGAATCTCCTAGTCCTGGACCACAAGGAAGTTTCCAGAACTGTGACTGAAAATTCAGGGTAGGACCAGGAAATGTGAAGAAAGAAGATGAGGGGGGAATGGACCAACTGCTTCCTAGGGTCTGTCCTCAGCAGGGACCTTCCCCTCTGCCATTTGCTGGGAGTCAGGGCCCATCACCAGAATTATCAAGGTGAACAATCTGTGATTCACTTTCATAAGTGTTTTACAAAAGAGGGTTAGAAATCAGCTCCAACTTGGGTGACACAAGTGTGTGGATGGTACTTCCCATTACCCAGGTAGGGCAAGTTCTCCCTGGGACATGAAGCCCCCAGTGGACAAGATCCCCCCCACTCCCTTCCCTACCTGAGTGCTTCTTCCTCCACATCACAGCTGCAGCCACCGCAATTCCAGTGAGCACAGCTCCAAGGAGAACCAGGCCAGCAATGAGGCCCCTAGTGGGGATGGAGGGCTGAGGCGGGGGCACTGGAAGGGAAGGGTAGTTCAGACCCTGAGCCCCAGGCCTCCATGCTGACCCTCTGAAGGTCTCCAGCAGGGCTCCTGATGCCCCTGGGCAGAGCCTCTGTGCCCACAACCTCCCTCCTCACCCCATCTCAGGAGTCGGGGCTCCAGCAGCCCCTCATGCTGCACGTGGCTCGTGTATCTCTGCTCCTCTCCAGAAGGCACCACCACAGCCGCCCACTTCTGGAAGGTTCCGTCCCCCCCAGGCCTGGTCTCCACCAGCTCCATGTCGTGGGTCAGGTCCTCCCCATCTCGCTGCCAGGTCAGGTTGATGTCCGCAGGGTAGAAGCCCAGGGCCCAGCACCTCAGGGTGACCTCATGGTCAGAGATGGAGTGGTGGGTCACGTGTGTCTCTGGGGGGTCTGAGAAGGGTCGGAAATGCAGGAAGTTTTATCCATGTTTTGGGTCACTGAAGTAGCACTCATAATGGACAGGGATGCAGGATGAGGGGAGGGAGCACAAAACCCAGATCCAGCCTGGACACAGGTATCAGGAATAATTCCTATTATTTGCAAATTTCTAGAATTAGAATGAGACAGTCCAGGCCAGGAGGCCAGGTCTCTGAGGGGGAGTAAAGGGATTTCTTGGTCCTGACCTAGCATGAGGCCAGTGACTCAGAAAAGCTGGATTCAGGCCCCAAAAACATGGGGCAGAGAACAAGGCCTGAGAGAGAAAGTTCCCAGGGCTCCCGGGGCTGCTGCCTGAGGCAAAGGGGAGCAGGGATGAATTATTTCAGGGATGGCTTCCCCCTCCATCCAGAGACTGGGTCCCTTCCGTGTCTAGAGGAAGGTGGGGCCTCTGGGCAAGTCACTCTTCAGGACCCAATTTGAACATCGCCCCGTAGACCCTCATACCCACGCGCTGTAGCGTCTCCTTCCCCTTCTCCAGGTACCTGCGCAGCCACTCTAAGCACTCCCCCTCCAGGTAGTTCCTCTCCTGCTCCGTGTCTCCAGCCGCCTCCCACTTGCGCCGGGTGATCTGAGCGGCCGTGTCCGCCGCGGTCCAGGAGCGCAGGTCCCCGCTCAGGGCCAGGTAATCGGCGCCGTCGTAGGCGAACCGGCTGTACCCGCGGAGGAGGCGCCCGTCGGGCCCCAAGTCGCAGCCAGACATCCCCTGGAGGGTGTGAGAGCCTGTCCCCGCCCGCGTCACCCCGCGTCACCCCGCCACCCCTGCGCCCGCCCCTCCCGGAGAACCCCGCGGGCAGGTCCAGGCCGCAGCCATCCCCCCCTCAGCTGGAAGGAACATCGGGCCTGTCCCGGGAGGCTTCCTCGCCGGCGGGGACTGTGGGTGGCCTTGGGGAGACGCTGAGACCCGGGGACTCGGGGCCCCTTCGGGGACCGGACAACTGGACCCGCCCGGCCCGCGGAGCTCACCCGCCGCGCTCTGGTTGTAGGAGCCGCGCAGGGTGTCCAGACCCTCGCCGAGAGCCCGCGCGGTGGCCGTGTAGGTCCTGGTGTTCCTGTCCCGGTACTCCGGACCCAAATGCACCGCCCAGGGCGTCCGCGGCTCCCCACTCTGACCCGGAGAGTCGCTGTCGAACCGCACGAACTGCGTGTCGTCCACGGAGCCCACGGCGATGAAGCGGGGCTCCCCGGGGCCGGGCCGGGACATCGCGGTGGAGAAATACCTCAGGGAGTGGGGACCTGGGGGGTGGGAGGGAGACTCGGGCTGACCCTCCACCCACGTGTTGGTACCAGAGTCTTAGGTGATTGGACAGGACCCTGGAGGGGTCCACTGAGACATGAAAGGGGTGGGGAGAAAAGATCCGGGAAGGTCATAAGGTTGGAAGAGAAGGGGGTGCATTGGGTGGGGAGGGCAGGATGTGGAGGGGCAAGGGACTGGAGCCCAGAGAGGGAAAGTGCCCAGGCGGTCCCCTGGCTCTTCCCCCTCAGAGGCAGGTTTTGTCCCATTTCACACTCACCCTCCGAGGCCTTGGGCAGGACAAGGACCTGCAAGAGCAACAGGAGGAGGCCTCCCGGCCCCATTACTGTGAAAATTTGTAAATGAGAACCACTGAAGCTTTGCCATTCTAGAAATGTGCAGCAGATGGGAAGAATCTTTAAGCCTGTGAGAAAGAAAGTGAGACTCCCTGCAACACCGAGAAGATGGGCTCCCCCAACACTGAGTCTGTGTCCCGGCCACCCTAACAGTCTGCATGGCTTGGCCCTGAACACTGTCCTCCAGCCAGGACAGCTCTTTGTCACGCGTCTCCCTGAGTCCTGGCCCAGGGGCTCTCTGAGGGAAGGCCCCACAGGCTGTGTTCAGCCCCTTTTTCCTCCACTGCCCCTTCCAGAATAACTCACTGACCTGAACTGGAAGCCCTGCCTTTCCCCCACCCCCTCCATGTCCCTGGCCCTGGACTCTCCTGGAAAACTCACAGGGGGATAAGGCAAAGGGGGCATGGGGGGGGGAGGCCCTTACTGGGGAGGGAAAGAAAAGGGGGAGCAAGCATCACTGGACTATCTTTTAGAGCATTCTTTGCCTTTTCTTGAAAATGGCCCTCCATTTTCAAAATCAACAATGAAGTGTCCAGTTTTCACACTTTGGGTCCCCCCCTACCCAGTCAAGTTTCCCAGGACTTTGTTTGGGCAAAGCCAAGATGAGGAGTGCTTTGCATCTAAAAGAAGGTGATACCTGGTGACCCAAGGGTTAATGTCTCTGTGCTATCAAGCTATTGCCAGTTACTGAAGCCTGAGTTCAACCCCTGTCCAGGGATCTACCCACATGGCATGGCAGACCTCTCCTGTCTCGCCCACCTCAGCAGTGTGTTTCAGTAGATGCACCTGTTCTGTTCCCTACTCTGTCTCTGGTGAATCCTCTCTCTCTCTCTCTCTCTCTCTCTCACACACACACACACACACACACAAACACACCCCTCTGGCCTACACCCCGGTTCTTGTATGTATAAATGAATGAAAAATAAATCTTTTTTTAATTAAAAGAATAAAAGAAAGTATTGGGGCCTTGGTGGCCAAGCGTGGTTTGTGTCGATGACACAGAGCCAGGTAGGGCATAGAAACTTGATCCTGACGTCATGGAACTGCTTGTCTACTAGCCGAAGTCACGTGTTTACAGCTATCTTCACTTCATGATCTGGTTGGGGTGGGCCCCAAGCAGGTGCTGGGCACCCTTATCTCTATAGCGCTGTGTGGCAGCACCCCTAGTGGTCAAGTCCGGTACATACTGTGGGTGCCGCCCTGGGAGTCAGTGCACCTAGACACCAAAGATCTTCACCCACGGAGGGGGTTTCTCGAGCACCCGCACACTACACAATTTTCCCTGCAGACTTCATGTTCTTGAACTAAGACACAAGCACCAAAAGCGGGACTAAGCGGCAACGTGATTCGGTCCAAAGATTCGCGTGCCTTTGAGGCGCAGAAAGTGGCTTGGAAGGTGAGCAGGCAGCACCCCGCTGTCTTGTACTTTCTACGCATTCCCTAAGTATTCTCAGCATCCTCGCTGTGCTCCCATTCCCACACCCCTTGAATTCCTTTCCTCAGGGAAAACTCAGTCCCTTCAAAGATTCACCTGACAAGGACAGTCGAACCTAGGGTCCTCTTCCTGTCTGAAGGTCAACGATTCAAGATCTTAAGTACATTTACAAAATCCCTTTACAGCAACAATTGCCTGAGTATTTGAATGAGCAGCTATGGGGAGAGGGAAGCAGTAATAACCAGGAGGTGGTTATGTGGCCCATCATGGAATCTGCCTAGCGTGACCTGGTTCTTCCTTTGTGTTTAATTGGGTCACAGTTAGGAACTGAAGTTCAAGTAAGAAGATTGCTTAAATAGGAACAAAATGCAACCTATTAGCCATGAAAATTTTAAATCGTAAAGCCCAGTCACATGTTTAATATATAGAGAAAATCAAAATTAAAGTACAACAGTTCATTCTCTCTTTGGACACTGTATTATTGTGTACCACAACATAACAATTTGCCCAAAACAGAACAGTTAAAAACGGTATTTGGAGTATTATCTCCCACAGTTTCCCAGAGTCAGGGATCCAGAAGCTTCTGGCTCAGGGTTTCAAGATTGCTGTCAAGTTGTAGCCAGCACTGCATCATGTCAGGTTTGACTCTGCCTGGAGGATTTGCAGGGAAAATGACTCACTCATACTGTTAGGGGGAAAGGATGTCCTGAGCTAATCCCATACAGGCTTTGTGGACTCCACCCCCACTCCAGACCAAAGCCATCAGGACATTGGGAAAGACAAATCCCATCACCACCAAAGGGAAGGTTGCTGGAACCTGAGGGTGGGGTTAAGCAGCCAGGTTGGGTATAAAACCAGACATGTAGGCCTTGGGGGGTTCTTTTTGGCTCTCCATCAGCTCTCTGCTCTCAGCCAGCTCTCAGAGTGCCATTGGGTTTCCAGGTCGGCGGATCGGGTAGGACGATAATAAAGACTTTATTTCCCTATTTTCTCCCTGAGTTGTATATTTCCTCATTTCCCCTTCCCTTGTAAATAAACCTTTTATTAACCTTTTGTGTGTGCCTGCAGTGGAGTATTAATAAGCCCCTTTTAAGCGTGCGGGTAAGGACCCACAGCCAGGCAACCAGTTTTATATCAGGGCTGTCCTCTAACAATATGGCTACTGGAGGAACCTCAATTTCTAGCCACACAGAGGTTTCCATGTGGGCTCTTTATGACCCAGCCACTGGCTTCCCCAGAGCAAGCAATTGAGAGAGAGCTACCCAGATGGCAGCTGCAGAGTTAACACCATTACATCAACCTTATGCTCAGAAGTCTATACTCAAGAGGAGGGAATTAAGCTCTGCCTCTGGAATGCAGGAATATCTAAGAATTCAAGTGCATGTTTAACACCAACATTAATATTGAATATGGTTTCAGGATTTTGTAAGTCAAATGTTTTCTTTTATCAGATTATATCTTTCACGCCTTAAATTTCTCTTTCAGAAAATAATGGTTAACAATCAATCCAAGACAGAGAAGGGGATGCAAAATTATTTCTATTTTCTTTCAAGCTCTCTTAATAACAATGTTTGTTTGCTTTTAATATGGAACACACCGCAGATCTAAGTGTCGCCCTGAACAGGGGCCCTGCTAATCTTCTCTGCATTGTCCCCACCCCAGCATCTGTGCTGCAGGAGCACACACGAGCTTCCTCAATACCCTGCAAGAAATCTGGGTGCAGAGTAGCTACATCAATGGTTCCAGACTTCCCTCAGTGAGGCTGTTGTTGAGCTACCTGAGCATCAGAGTTACCCTAGGCTCTGCATCCTGAGCTCCTAGAGGCCTGGGGGCTGCAGACAGGGCTGTGTAAGACAGGACAGGAGTGAGGATTCATAGTACAGGACACCAGGCAAGGAGAAGGAAGGAGAGGGTCCAGGCAGGGGCAGGGAGGGGCAGAACTGGGGAGGGAGAGCACAGGGACGGGGCGATGGACCAAGGGGACTGCACCTGAGAGGGGAAATCAAATTCTATACAAAAATTAACATCTATGTAAGAAAATAAATCTAAGAAAAGGAAGGAAGGAGAGGGGTGAGGGTGGAAAAGGGATGGAGAGGGGAAACATGGAGTCAGAGGCCAAGAGTGGGGCACCGGGTCCATAAGAGGACTGCGGGGGTCTTGTCAGAGAGCAGGGAGTGGACATGTGGGTCCGGGGCCGTGGTCCACAGTCGAAGCAGCTGTGGTGTGAGGTGGGAGGGCAACATGAGCCAGGCCAGGCTGTGGTTCCTCAATGACAGGTGGGGGAGGTGGATGAACCGGACCCGGGACCCGGGGAGAGGCAGGTGCAGGAACTGAGAGTCAGCCCGCGCATCCAGGGAGAGTTTAGATTGGGGTGGGGGAGCAGAAATTCAATGCCCAGCAGGTATTCAGGGCACAGGAGGGGAAAGCAGCAGTGTGGGGTGATGCAAGTAGCGATGAGGTCCCTCCACAGAGGAGGCTGCATCCATCAGGTGGTGGGGTGGGAGAAGGCCCTCGACCACAGGGTGATGGATCTGTGGTGTGAGGAGCGAAAGCCCACTGGGGTCAAGGAAGCCAAGGGGGGGTGAAGGCCGAAGAGGAGCCGCATCAAGAGCAGCTCTCAGGTCTGGGAAGGGCGGGAGGCTGCAAGAGAAAGAGGCAGCTGGGAGACTGGTGCTGAGGGCCAGGACTGGGGAGCAGAGATAAGCAGGGCCTGGGGTGTCAGGGCGAGAAAACTGGGTTAGGGTGCTGACCAGAGAGGAGGGTCTGGGGTGAGGACAGGAGCGGGGGAAGGGCCTGGGTGAGGGCCCAGGAGCAGGAGCTGCTCTGGCTGGGAGGTGGGAGGAGAGGCAGAGGACAGGGCAGGTCTGTGCACAGGGCTTGTGCCTGTGGTCAAGGCAATGAGGAGCTCCCAAGCTCCCCGGCATGAGGGGGGGGGGGACTAGCATGGAGAGAGATACCTCAGGCAAAAGGCACCCTCAGAAAGCAGGGCTCAGTAAAATGTGGGGAGTTAGGATCCATCAGGTGAGGCTCAGGAGAGAGGAGAAAGCAAGTGAGGAAGGGGAGGAAGGTCACCCTAGAACAAAGAAAGGAGGGACGCAGGGAAGGGGGACAAGAAGAGGGGTCAGCAAAGAGGAGGTGCAGCAGGGTAGGGGGCAGCTGGGATGGGGTAGCTGGAAAGGGAGGGTCAGCTGGGAATGTTAGGGGGAAATGATGTCTTGAGATAATCCCATGCAGGCGTTGTGGACCCCACCACCCACTCCAGACTAAAGCCATCAGGACACTGGGAAAGACAAATCCCATCACCACCAAAGGGAGGGTGGCTGGGACCTGAGGGTGGAGTTGGGCAGCCAGGTTGGATATAAAAACCAAACACGTGGGCCTGGGGCTCTCTGGCTATCTCGCTCGCCTCCTGGCTTCACGGCTCCTGGCTCGCGGCCAGCTCTCAGAGCGCCATTTTGGGATTCCAGGTCGGCGGATCGGGTAGGACTCATTTAAAACTTTGTCTCCCACTTTCTCCCTGAGCTGTACATTTCCTCATTTCCCCTTCCCTGTAAATAAACCTTTTATTAACCTTTCGTGTGTGCCTGCAGTAGAGCATTGGTAAGTCCCTTTAAGCGCGCGGGTGAGGACCCAGTCAGGCACCCCGTTTTGTATCGGGGTTGCTCTACAAACAGGAAGAAGGGGCAGCAGAGAAGGGGAGGGTGGCAGGAAGGGTGAGAAGCAGGGAGGTGGGCATTTCTGAGACCAGAAATGGGAGGGGGGGCACGAGCCATGGAGTAGGAGGGGTACACAGGCAAGACAAGAAAGAACTGAGAGGCTGTTAAAGCAAAGGGGGAGAGGGGGGACATTACCAAAAGAGTAGAGCACAACTTTACCGCTTAAATAAAATCAATATATCAATAAAAATAATAAATAAATAAATAAAAATAAAATCATATATCAATATATCAGGAGGGGTGTGCAACCAGCCAAGTCCAGCCCCATAGTCCTCCTCCAGAACTCCCAAAGACCATACCCCTCCTGACAGTTTCCCCAAGGCACTCGGGGTGTTGTAGAGCAACCCCGATACAAAACGGGGTGCCTGACTGTGGGTCCTCACCCGCGCGCTTAAAAGGACTTATCAATGCTCTACTGCAGGCACACGCGAAAGGTTAATAAAAGGTTTATTTACAAGGGAAGGGGAAATGAGGAATGTACAGCTCTGGGAGAAAAGTGGGAGACAAAGTTTTAAATGAGTCCTACCCGATCCGCCGACCAGGAATCCCAAAATGGCGCTCTCAGAGTTGGCCGCCAGCCAGGAGCCGTGAAGCCAGGAGGCGAGCGATCGCGAGCCAGAGAGAGAGCAAGGCCCACGTGTTTGGTTTTTATATCCAACCTGGCTGCCCAACTCCACCCTCAGGTCCCAGCCACCTTCCCTTCGGTGGTGATGGGATTTGTCTTTCCAGTGTCCTGATGGCTTTAGTCTGGAGTGGGGGTGGGGTCCACAAAGCCTGTATGGGATTAACTCAGGACATCCTTTCCCCCTAACAGGGGGACCCCGCCCATTCCCGGAAAAGGCCCAAACTCCTGCCCACCAGGACCCATGAAGCCCCCTCACCAGCACCCAGTGCTGCACCTCCCCCTGCAGTGACCTTTAGGGCTAAGGGCTTTCACCACGGTCCCTAGGTCCGGCTGGGCAAGGAACCAGCACGCAGGGGAGTACAGCAAAATTCCCTGAAGACATAGATAAGACAGACACTTATCAAAAGATAACAACCACCAGGAGCCACTAAAAGAATGCTACTACAAAAAACCTTATCTCGTCTTTCTAGAACTACAAACTTTATTCCCTTATTGTCTTTCTAAACTTCCTTCTTTCTTCTATAAAGGTCATTGGTTGTTAATTAAAAAATCATATGAAATCCTTAAACAAGGCTGACTCAAATGAAACATTACTAAACCTTGTGTAATAATAATAATTAAAATATAGTTTAGGTGAAAAAGTAGTAAAACAAAAAATGCGATTATATAGTTTAAAAACAAAACTAATGGTCTCTCTACTTAGGAATGCGCCTGGGTCCAGATGTAAATCACTGCCCTGTCAATGATAAGCTAAACCCATGAGCAAGCTGATTTCGTTGATATTCACTGTTCCTATGCTTTTAGAAAACATATATATACTGGTCACAAACTCAAAGAGAATTACACTCAGATTTACACTCTCTCTTGAAGTGTGTCTGTGTGTCATTTCTTTTCACACCGACTCCCTGACCACCCTGCGCAGGCGTCAACCCTGAGACGGCCTCATTGTCTACTGCTGTGCTAGTCCGCGGCAGCCCAGGGCCATGGAGCGGGCAAGGGCAGCCAGAAGCAGAACGGGGCACTGGCCCATCCCGAAGCCAGCAACCTCCAGTGCCTGACAGGAGTGAGCCTGTCCATGCAGCGGCAGAGACCTAGCAGCGGACTCCATGCCTCTAGCAAAAGCAGAATTAGAGCTGAAGGCGGAAGCCACAAGGGCAGGGCCACTCACGTGACCAGCAAACCTGCTCACATCAAGGCCTGTCATTTGTTTCCCCTGTGCTTCCTGCCCCTCTTGCTCACCAGCATTACACTAATGCCAAAACCAAATTCAACACACACAAACACACACACACAAATACTACAGGAGCCTCCCTGGAGGCGCAAGGGGTGAAGACGCAACCTATGAAGCTGTAAGTAGCCCCTGTAGCAGGAGTTTGATCCCCCACAGTGGGCCTGCTAGACTTAAGCGCTGCTAGACTTAAGCGGCCTGCTCAGCCACCATTAGGGTTCCCTGCAGTTCTGCATCCCTACACAAAGGTCAGAACTGCCCAGTCACAGTCATATGAGCCAAACCTTACAAGGTGACATTCATATCAATCAAGAGCAGAAAGCTTGATCACTCTGGGAAGGTTGTGCATCAATAGGTAAGACTGGGAATGAACAGGGGGCTTAGGACGGATGCATAAACTTACTCCCTACTCATACATCATGAGGTATGACTGGGAACGCCCGGGGGGCCGAGGACCAATGTATGACAAGGGACCCCAGAAACTGATCAGTGGAATGCCTTGTTGATAAGATTAGGACCATGACTGGGGTCTAGTTTCGATGACAACCCTTGGTCATCAAGCTGATAACATGGTCAGCAGACTTGTGTCCCCCAAGCCCTAGATGACATTCCTGAGTTTCACCCATACTTTCTCCTTGTCCTCCTAACGCCTGTAGCTAATGCTCTATGATTATTCTATCAATAAAAATGGCCAGGATCTTGCTCTCAGCAGCATCCTGCCTTGTGCAGCCTGCTCCACAACTCCCGTGTCTTTATCAGTGTGGTGTTGCTCAATGCAACATGTATATGTGTTTGTGAGTACACGTGTGTGTGTTGGGACATGCCTGCAACACTATAGGCAGTTTGCATGTCTGTCTTTGCCTTCCCTTCCTACTTCCTACTTGTGTAGAGGATCGTCAGTCAGCAGGATGATCTCATGTTCCCCTCCTGGATGCACATACTATCTAGGGTCCCAGGAATAATGGAAGCTTTTCACAGTCCTTTATTGCCAAAATCATTCCTTTCCTCAGTTTTTACTGCCACGATTTTCTGTATGTCTGTTTTTTCCCCCAAACTGGTGTTTCTTCCCAAGTGATAGTTGCTGGTTCATTTGTCATGTAAGTATATTTGACA